GTTATATTGTATGCTGAGTTTAACATGTAATATGTAATTATGTCATTAAGAAATCATGAGTGTCACATTATGGTGTGTGAAAGTAGGTCACCTTCTCAGCTGTTTGGTTGCATTCTGTAACACTCTGTAATTGCTACCAAATCAACGTAAAATCATAACTCAGTTTCGGTGCTGTAACTTCAGACTCGCAGTGGAATGTGGCCATCATACAAACACCCCGTATAATGAACGTCTCTGCCTCTTTTGTCATGCTGCTGGCCTTGATTACATCGAAAATTAACTCCATATTTTATTAATATGTCCAAAATATTCCGAACAAAGATCTGATTGTTTTTCAATACATCTGACTCAACCACCGACAATTAAAACCTTCATCCGATTGTTGTCATCGGACAATATACATATTTGAAAATCATTGAGTAAATATCTTTCACAAGTTCGCCGTAGAAGGAATGAATAACTGTAAAACAAATCAATACTAAACTTAACTTAGCTTTACTCAGTATGTATTTATTTTGCCAAATGTATGTATTATGGGCCTTGGGCCTAAATTACCGAATAAACCTGTCTGTCTGTCTGTCTGTAACACTCAGCTGACTGGACTTGCACAAGTCTCTAAGGTAATAATCAATAGTTTAAATGATAAATTTTCAAATATATAATCTCTAATAGACTGGCATCCTCGTCTCTTTAAAGGATAGACTTACTGCACATCCATGGGCTTAGCCTTCAGTACAGCCTTGGAGCAAGGCTACCAGCTGATGTAAGCGAATGCTTAGACCCTGAATATATATACTAGTAATTTATAGAGAAACAAATAATTCCATTTAAATTGAAAAGTAGACCCAGTGATATGGGTGATTCAGAACCTGAGGAAATCTAGACTTGCTTCATTTAGGGCTTAGCATTGCAGAATGGGGTGGGAGGAAGGGAAAATAATGTGGTTCAGTGACTGAGAGACAGACTACCAGCTGTTGGTGTAGGGATGTTTAAGGATGTTTATATTCACCCTGGTTATGTGTCTAGATTTACCAGAGCCATTCCCATGCACCTGAGTTTCACCAGACCATCCAGGACCAAATACGGGGACCGCTGCTTTGAATGTGCAGCTCCCATGCTATGGAACAACCTCCCTTTGTCGCTAAAATCCGCCCCAAGTCTACAAACTTTTCGAAAACATTTAAAGACACATCTATTTGAAATGAAATAGACTGAACTGCACAAGCGCCTGTGAGCAGCCTAGCTGGAACTTGGCTATAGAAGTAGATTATTATTATTATTATTATTATTATTAAATGTGGAAAATCTAAGGCAGGCATCTGATGTCTGGCTTGTCTCCAACAACAGACTGGAATGGTTGAAAGGGACATTAACTAAACTCACACACTGATGAAGCTTGTAAGTCTGGGAGGTTGCCTTGAAGGGTTGGTCAGGATTTGCACCTTGTCATCTTATATTCTGAAAAAACACTAATAAAAATCTAAGTATAGAAAAAGTTATTTCACAAGCCAAGAACTAAATTATTGTAACGTCACTCCCACTGTAACTGACACCATGCAGCATTACTGACTACTTTTTATAAAAATCGGAAACTTTTTCACTATGACTATTGACAAATTGAATATTTTGTCACTTTGACTATTGAGGATGATAAACTGCTTCAGTGGGACTATTGTGAATATGATTCTTGTTCACTATGCAGATTGAAAATAGGAAACATTCACTTTGACTATTGAAAATTTTAAGCTTTTTCACTTTGACTATTGAGAATATTAAACTGTTTTGCTGAATTTTTAAGAATATGGAACTTTTTCAATTTGACTATTGAGAATATGATTCTGTTGTCACTATGATTATTGAGGATAATCAACTACTTCACTTTGACTATTGAGAATATTAAGCTTTTTCACTATGACTATTGAGAGTTTTAAGCTGTTTCACTTTGACTATTGAGAATGATAAACAGTTTCACTATGACTATTGTGAATTAAAACGTTGAAGGCTAAGTATTAAGTGTGCTGCCTTATTTCATTGCCACGTTTCCTCTTTTGTTTATCATGTTGCCATGGTTACTACAATACCGAAAGAGCTGCTACTGCAGGTCATCCACCTGTGCTGACCATTACTGAGTCTGTGTGTGTGTGTGCCATGTCCTCTATCGCCTACAACACTGGCAGCAGAGTCTTATTGATTATAGTGAGAGGTGTGAAAGTAAATAAGTATCTTATTTTCTGCAATTCTAGTTGCCTGGCATGAGTGAGTGAGTTTGGTTTCCTGCTGCTTTTAGCAATATTCCAGCAATGTCACTACGGGGGACACCAGACATGGGCTTCACACATGGTACCCATGTGGGGAATCGAACCCGTATCTTTGGCGTGACGAGTAAATATTTTACCACTAGGCTACCCCACCACCCTGCTTGGCATGAAATCAAAACTGAATGTTGTTTTTCATTAACTGCAGACAGGCCTTCACTCCAGAATTACTTAAAATGGATCCCTGTCAGCATACCTGTGGCAGGAAGAAAGATAGTGAGTGAGTTGGGTTTTACGCCGCTTTTAGCAATATTCCAGCAATATCACAGCGGTTGACACCAGAAATGGGCTTCACACATAGTACCCATGTGGGGAATCAAACCAGGGCCTTCCGCTTGACAACCCGTCTAATACTTTGGGTACCCCACCGCCCCTGGCAAGAAGCCCCTGGCCAAATTGGGGTGGGAGGAAAGCCTAATTGGGGTTTCAAGTCGAGCTTGAATGAGAAGAAAACCAATCTGGTTAGTCTTTGGATGTGTATTCTACCCAGCTGCTGGGAAAAAGTGCTGTAATTTCAGTGTAATGATACGGTAGGTGTAGCATAGGAAACAGCTGTATGTTGTATGTGTTCAGTGATAGTAGAGGAGCAGGCCAGTAAACATGTTGTTGTCGGCTTCAGTAGTGGTGGGATATGAGTGGGTCAATGTTATCACCAAGCATGGTCACGGCTGTCGAGGTCACCATCTGTAACATTTGTTATAGATGTCTCTGTGACCCAACCAATTCCTGGGGAATGACAGCAGGGTGTGCGATAAACATGATACAACATGAAATATGCCATGATATATCACCTGGGTGGGGATATACATGATACAGCATGAAATATGCCATGATATATCACCTGGGTGGGGGATATACATGATACAACATGAAATATGCCATGATATATCACCTGGGTGGGGATATACATGATACAGCATGAAATATGCCATGATATATCACCTGGGTGGGGATATACATGATACAACATGAAATATGGTGGGGATATACATGATACAGCATGAAATATGATGATATATCACCTGGGTGGGGGATATACATGATACAGCATGAAATATGCCATGATATATCACCTGGGTGGGGATATACATGATACAACATGAAATATGCCATGATATATACCTGGGTGGGATAAACCAGCATGAAATATATCACCTGGGTGGGGATATACATGATACAACATGAAATATGCCATGATATATCACCTGGGTGGGGATATACATGATACAGCATGAAATATGCCATGATATATCACCTGGGTGGTGGATATACATGATACAGCATGAAATATGCCATGATATATCACCTGGGTGGATATGGATGATACAACATGAAATACATGATACAACATGAAATACAATCATGGGAAATACATGCCATGATATATATATCACCTGGGTGGTGGATATACATGATACAACATGAAATATGCCATGATATATCACCTGGGTGGGGATATACATGATACAGCATGAAATATGCCATGATATATCACCTGGGTAGGGATATGATATATGATATACATGATACACATGAAATATGCCATGATATATCACCTGGGTGGGGATATACATGATACAACATGAAATATGCCATGATATATCACCTGGGTGGGGATATACATGATACAACATGAAATATGCCATGATATATCACCTGGGTGGGGATATACATGATACAACATGAAATATGCCATGATATATCACCTGGGTGGGGATATACATGATACAACATGAAATATGCCATGATATATCACCTGGGTGGGGGATATACATGATACAACATGAAATATGCCATGATATATCACCTGGGTGGGGGATATACATGATACAACATGAAATATGCCATGATATATCACCTGGGTGGGGGATATACATGATACAACATGAAATATGCCATGATGTATCACCTGGATGGTGGATATACATGATACAACATGAAATATGCCAGGATGTATAACCTGTATGTAGTAGTAGCCACATATACAAGTAGCCTACATGCAATAGTATTCCCACATACAAGTATCCTGCATGTAATAGAGCCCCACATACAAGTAGCCTGCATGTAATTGTAGTCCCACATACAGATAGCTTGCATGTAATGGTAGCCACACATACAAGTAGCCTGCATGTAATAGTAGCCCCACATACAAACAGTCTGCATGTAATAGAAGCCCACATACAGGTAGCCTACATGTAATAGTAGCCCCACATACAAAGTCACCTGCATGTAATAGTAGCCCAACATACAAATAGCCTGCATATGTAATAGTACCCCACATACAAGTAGCCTACATGTAATAGTAGCCCCACATACAAGTACCCTACATGTAATAGTAGCCCCACATACAAGTAGTCTAATGTAATAGTAGCCCCACATACAAGTAGTCTAATGTAATAGAAGCCCCACATACAAGTAGCTTGCATGTAATGGTAGCCCCACATACAAAGTCACCTGCATGTAATAGTAGGCCTACATACAAGTAGCAAACATGTAATGGTAGCCACATGTACAAGTAGCCCCACATACAGGTAGCCTGCATATAATAGTAGCCAACATGCACTAGTAATCCTTCATGTGACTGTACTGAAGGTTAAGGGTACTGCAAGGCGGATGTAATAGTGGAGACTGTGCTGGGTGAATCAGAGCGTGGACGTAACCGGTGAAGAATGTCAGCCGTCAGGTCAAGAGTTGGACACTCTCAAAGTTTAGACGTAGTAGCTATAACTCTCACTTGGTCAGCTGGAGACTGTACAGTGTGCAGGGGAGGCCTGTACAGATGATGCAGTTGCTGACAGTTGAGGTTGAGTGACGTCCATGTCAAGTGGCGACAGAGTCAGCTGACACAGTAGCACAGAGGGAGTGTAGTAGTAGATTCAACTTGTGTTCGTGGATACTCGGACGATAATCACAGTAAGTACTGTAAGCTCCTGTAAGACAGGTATTGAATTTTGGAATGTGTCATCTTGATTGTCACAGTGTTTGACCTGAGTTTGTCACAATGTGTGATCTGTGTTTGTCACAGTCTGTGATCTGTGTAAACTAGTGCTGATTTGTTGCTATAAATAGACTGGCATGTTTGCTGGGTGTAAACAACAGTCATATCAACAATGGACAACAGCTGACTGTCAGTGTTGCAAAAATCAATTTGATACACTTTGTCTATTCATGTTTGCAACAGAATGAATTATTAATTGTATTATAATCATCACCAATTTCTTGGCCCCTCCCCACTAACCCACCTCCCTTAAACCTATTGTATTTCTGATATGATAGTGTCAAGTAGAAGTGAGTAAAATTAAAATACACCCTTGCTGTTTCTTGGCCAGAATTTTCAAATATGCCTCACTTGTAATGTTTCCGGCAGATGTTGTCGATAAAGTCTGTTAATAATGCCTCCCGACCATATCAATGTGATATATCCTTGTATTTCCAGCTTTGTCAAACTATCATGCCTTATTTACCATGGTATATTTCGTGAATGAAAAATTAAAATGCATTACTTGATACCTGAATTCTGTTTAATGACTGGAAGCTAGACGTTATCACAATTCTTTATTAGATCATTGATTCAGAGTAAAAACATTCATTACATCGGCTAGAGAAGTTATTACAGGCCTAACGATATACTTCAAGGGGATATATCAGGGTTTATTAGCCAGAATAGTCAGGTAAGCTGTAAAAATATTAAAAATGAAATAAGGATTAGAATTCATTGCACTGAGTGTTGATTCCATGTTAACAGGAGACCAGGAGGCTCCTTTTAGTCAAATAATCACCAACAGAATAATTGTGGTATTATAATTTCATTGAAAGGAAAATGCTGCAATATATATTTTACTCAGATTTTAATTTTGATAGTAATCTACATTTAATTTTATTGTATAAGATGATGACTCTCGTACTGTGAATATGTAATTATTTTAAAAATTTACCTATCAATAGCTGAGTAGAATATGTCTGCCATAAAAATATGAATTGTTAGTCTAAAAAGTAGCATAGTACTTTTACAGACAAAATTACCAGGTATCACATTATGTCTATTCAGTTCAATATTACTATATGATCACTTTCATGACTAACCAACCAGATGAAGGAAATCTATATATCAACCAAACAACGTTGTTGATAAGCCATGACAGTGTTGTATTGTCGTCAACTCCAAATCAGGAAGGTGAAATGTCAATGTGCTGTGCTATTTTTAGAGTTGAATCAGGCTCTGTCTTGATCATGTGACAGCCATCGAATCACGACTTACAGGCTTGGATTTTCCAAGCTGGATGACTCAAAGATACATATTAAGGTATTGTGATTCACCCAAACATGATTGTAAAACACCTGATTCTTGGTCATACTTTTCATTATCTAAATGTATCTTTTACAGGCTTTAGAAATAGAAAACATACTGTAAGAATATATTATTTTATTTTAAAAACAATAAACAAATACTAAAACATAACAAGACCCCAAGTAAAGAGAAAAATATTTTCTCTCTAAAGTTAATATTTGTTTGTGTTTTGTTTAATGCCACACTTATCAATATTCCTTCTGTATGATGGTGATGTATATATATATTCAAATATGGGCGGTGGGGTAGCCAAATGGTTAAAGCGCGGGCTCGTCACGCTGACAACCCAGGTTCGAATCCCCACATGGGCACAATTTGTGAAGCCCATTTCTGGTGTCCCCTGCCGTGATATTGCTGGAATATTGCTAAAAGCGGCGTTAAACCCAACTCACTCACCCACTCACTTGAATCTGGATCAGACAATCCAGTGACTGACATTGTGAGCATTGACTTACACAAATGGGACACGATGACATGCCTTAACCTAATCATCAAGCGTGATCTCCCTAATCAGTCAGCTATCTCTTATAAGAACATAGACTGCTAAGGAGTTAATATTCTAATATCAGACACTTTAAACAAAATTGGATTTCTTGTCTCAATTAAACAAACCAACCCAACAAGGTATATGCCAAATAATAATTCTGAATTATTAAGCGACACCAATATGTATATTTTTTAAATTTGACTCAGATGTATCTACAGTTATTGGTAAGTGAATTAAAATATTTCAAAATGTGGCCTAAGGCATATGGCTTTTCCTGTTTACTGATGAAAAGTGAGTAATGTGAAAGTTTTACCTTGGCTCCATGTTTTGATGGGTAACTGTAAATTCACCCATAAAGTCTCTGAATATATAAATATTTTAGAAAGAACCAACTCCTTTTTAAATTGAAAAGGAGGCCAGTTTGTTTGGAACCTGGGCTAGACTTGTTTTTTGGGGGGCTAGTATATTACAGAAAAGGGGCAGTGGGGTAGCCTAGTGGTTAAAGCGTTCGCTCGGGTTTGATTCCCCAAATAGGTACAATGTGTGAAGCCCATATCTGGTGTCCCCACTTTGATGTTGAGGGAATATTGCTAAAAACGGCCTAAAACCATACTCACTCACTCATTACAGAAAGGGCTGGTGGAAGGGACAATAATATTATCCAGAGACTGGGAGGTCTTCCATAAAACCTCCCCGGCTTATTGCACTGATGGAGTTTTTTCTGGTGTATTGTAATGGTATATTTTGGTATTGAACAGGAAATGCCCTTCCTGTTAATTTCTTAAGGGTGCGGTAAGTAGCAGGGGTCACACTGAAGGCCTGGGTTTGATTCCAACATGAGTACAATGTGTAAACCCATATGTAGCACCTCCTGGAATGTTGTTTGAAAGGTTTCAAAGCACAGTCCCTTTTCATGTGCTTATCATGAATCATAATTTTGTTTTGTAAAAGATATTGATTACAATAGAGAAAATAACAGTTCTCTTTAAAGATCCCTAAGCACATTCTCTCTCTCAATGACCTTATAGTAACCATATATCACCTTTGACAGGCGACAACTATATAAAACTATTGTTCAGGTTCACTTAAAGTTCAGTTCTTGGAAGCATAAAAGCTCTTAATTGAAGGTATACTAAAAGCAGTGCTTGAAAGAACTGCCTGCCCATATCAGATAGGTTGCGTGTCAGTCCCATAGTCTTAAATCTGTGTGGGTCTATATGGTTTGCAGTAAAATATAAGTGTCATATTTGTGTCAATAGGCTGTATTGTTTAAATGAGGCTGGAAAGTTTAGTCTTTAAAGATTAAAAGGTTAGTCTTCTAAAGTCTGTGGGCCATGATGGCAGTCTGGCATCTTTTTGATTTTCCAAACACAGACTATAATAATATGGATTCTTATTTTGTGCTAACCTCCACACCAAAGTGTGCTCAAAGCACTAAAAGTACATGCAAACAAAAACAACTGAGACAGGGTAACTGAATATAGGTCATAATATATTCAACACTGGCATATATTCTTCTTTTTAATTTTTTGTTTTAAAACATATTTCATGATCATGTGTTAATAAAAAATCAACAGCTGGTTTGAACTTGTTGAATTGTGTCATATATTACTGCTATACTGCAAACTTAAAAAAAAAGAAGTTTTTAGATAAATATATAAACTTGACATTGAATATTTGAAACCTGTTTGTGTGGCATTGTGTGGCATACAAACATGTTATTTAGCCAAAGATATCAAGATAGTAAGGTTTATTTCTAAAGCCTCACCATAGACGGGGTGATGAGGTTGCCTAGTGGTTAAAGCATTCGCTCGTCACGCTGAAGACCCCGGTTCGATATCCCACATGGGTACAATGTGTGAAGCCCATTTCTGGTTTCCCCTGCCGTTATATTTTCTGGAATATTGCTAAAAGCAGCGTAAAATAATACTCTCACTCACTCACTCACCATAGACATATATATAATCCCTCATCCATCTATGATGTGAATGATGTCAAAACTGCATTCCATTTAAAGATGTGAGCAAATTGATGTGATGATGTGTAATATTTGCTTATGCACATGCCATGAATACATTCCTGTTATTGATAAGGGAATTTCTGTATCTGATCTGTAATGTATCATATATTGCTTGCAGGAAAGACAGCAAGCATGTTTGACAAATCACAGCAAAGTGAAATAGATTAACCTGGGTCAAATTCCTGTCACATCACATAGGAACGTCCTATAGAATCAACTTACATAATATAGTTACTTTGTGAAAGCAGTTCTACAGGTCTGACCGTGGGATCGTGTTATCAGTGGTGATATAATAAAACGTGAGCTATAACGGCTGGGGCATTACGATTGATATGACATACTCCCACCTGCCATGCTGGTATGGTTGGTATTACCTGTCAGTAGGCCGCAGATAATGTTCGGCTGACACATATAGGCCTCGGACCAGGTTCTAGCTGACAGGTGTTATCTCGAGTATGTTATGAGATGCAATAAATGTTTCCCTTGACAAACAAATACACAAACTGCAACAAAAGTAATACAAATTGAAATGTGTGATTTTCATTAAAAATAGTCTTTGGTCATTCCCAATTTATTGGTGTTATTTCATAAATGATATTTGGGATGTGTTTCAAGTGACTTTCAATTTTGGTCGTGGGAAGCCCATTTCTGGTGTCCCCCGCCATGATATTGCTGGAATATTGAAAAAAAGTGGTGTAAAACCAAACTCACTCACTCACTCAATTTTGGTCAATACTGATGGACTACAATGTGTTTCAGTGCGAAATACAGAGTAAAGCACTGTAGCTTGTTGATGAAGCTTGGAGTTCACTGACATCTTCGTTTACATTGATTTTGTTCTGTGTCATTTAACCACCACTCAACACAACCTCAAACATCAAATAGATTTAAATTTATTACCATACAAAAATACTTGTCTGACAGTCATGCCAACAAAGATATGAGAACATTTTTATATAAAATAATATGTATGCTGCAGTTGTCATATATTGTGTCTCAATCCAACTCCTTGATGATGGGCAACTTGTCGATGACAGTGTTGAAGAATGTTAAACAAC